AGGGTGGAGAAAATGGATTTGCAGACAGACACACAAACACACACACAAAGCCATTTTGTCCATCCTTTGCAATTTCTCAAGCTGAGAGAAATCCGCTTGTGTGTGTGTGTATGTTCCAGCTCTCACAAGCATAGGGGATAACTCTGCATATGCTCCTGGACCTGGAAACACACTCTGCACATGCCCCAGGGTTGGGGGGGTCAGGGCAGAAGGGGCAGATAAAAATGCCTCCTGTTCCCCGGCTTTAGGAGGAAGGAGGGACCAGCCGGACCCCTATTTCCCTGGCTTTGAATCACCACCACCCCAAACCCCAGAACAGCCTCCCCTCCTGCAGGCAAGCAAGTGCAATCACTTCACTCCTATCCAGGTTGCCATCCATCCATCTCTCACACACCTTTCCATCCATCCATCTCTCTCGCTCCTTCCTGCCTTATTCAGCTCTGGGCAGGAGCAGCCATCCACAAGCTGGGGATTGATTGCTCTTCCAGCCCTAAACAGTCAAGCCACCTTATCTCCCTCCGATCTCTGAAAGAACAGGAGGATTTACAAGTACCTCAACCAAGGAAGTAGCAGGGAGAGGTTTGGCTGCAGGGGGTGGGGGAGAGGGAGGGGTGGATGGAGATACAAAAGCCGGACATTTTGAAGTTTTTTAGTCTTGCCTGCCAGACGGAGGACATGCTCCTGAAAAGTAGGACATGTCCTCCTTTTGCCGGAGGTCTGGCAACCCTACCTTTAAACATTCTCATCTTCCAGTATCCACAGACACTCCCCCCTTCCCTTTTCCAAAACGCTTTCTTCCTTTGAACCTAGTGGCATTATGCTTCCTAGGTCATTTGGAATTCTTCCCTCAGATTCTTGCTGGAGCAGAAAAGGTTGTGGCTACTGGTTTCATTCCTTAATTTAAGTTCTAACATTTGTAAATCATAAATGAGTTGACACTCGTGTTGTTTTTCTCCCTTCAGAACCAGCCTGAAGAAAGAGAATATTTACTGGAATAATTTAAATTACTGTGAAGGAATATATTCATTATTTTTATCCTGCTAGGGTCAAGTGCCAGACTGAGCCTCTTGGGTACATACTGCCTGGAAAAAGTTTCTAGTAAAGGGAACCTAGTAGAAACAATGCTCAGAATATCCCCCTTGTTGTATATTGCTCAGTGCATTTCTTCAGTATAGTCCCGAGTACTGTATAGTCCCAGATCAGCTCAAGGGGCACACAAATGCATGTATGTACACATGGGTTGCTAAAGGAGATGAAAGCCCCGTCACTCTCCACTGACATGTACTGACATTGCTGTTTCTCTGAAACTACTACTGTGTTCCCCTGAAAATAAGACAGGGCCTTATATTAATTTTTGCTCCAAAAATGCATTAGGGCTTATTTTCAGGGGATGTGTTATTTTTTTTTCATGTACAACCATCTACATTTTTTCAAATACAGTCATGTCATCTTCTTCTGTTTGCTGCACAATGGTGGAGGGTGGGGTTTCACTTAACTAGGGCTTATTTTGGGGGCAGGGCTTATATTATGAGCTTCCTGAAAAATCATACTAGGGCTTATTTCAGTTTAGGTCTTGTTTTTGGGGAAACATAGTAGTAGTACAAAAACGTGATTGTAAAAGTGAGATTACTGGTGATTGGGAAAGGCTTTCATGTCTTCTGTTGCCCACCCATATTAGAAACCAGAGAGCTTTGTTTGAAAAATATTGCTTAGCTGATCTTCTGGGCTTAGGGGAGGAATGGATGCATGGTGGTCTATGCAGGGAGCTGATGAAGCCCATTTGTGGCTTCTGGGTCCCCGTGTGTGTGCCTCTGCTTTAAAAGAACTGAAAAAAACACTGTACTGTGAATGTATTCTCGAAGGCTTTCATGGCAAGGATCTGATGGCTGTTTTGGGTTTTTCAGACGGCATCTTCAGAGGACAGGAGTCAGAACTCTGTCTGTATTCTGGTGCAGTTTGCTTGGATAGTACTGAGAAACTCTGCAGTAGTGCAACTTTCATCAGAAACATTTCTCTGAAATCTTTACAGAATGTTTCTACACATGATGGGGGGGACACCCAAAGGGTTCAGATTCACACCTCAAGAAGATGCTTCCATATTTTCTCCACTTTCTGGTACTCACTGAAATAAATACTTTAATTGGAGGTGAACCTATACATATCCACTCAGAACTCTCGCTGTGTGCAACTGCAGTGTGTAAAGCAAGCGATGCACAGGACTGCAGTCTATGTTTTTCGCTTGACTGCTACTTTTTGGATTTACCCCTTTTAAACTAACCACTTACTCATGTTCTCCTTTCAGATTATGTGAATAGGAATAGCAGTCCAGATGGTAAATTTAAGAAATATTATTCCCTGATTCCCAAGGTCTCTTGTAGCTTTTCACTGCCTAAAGCTTCACCATTGGAAAGTATGAGGTGATGGTTGCTATTGATCATAAAGGGCACATCTTTGCTGAGCACTGAAAATGCTCTGAAAAAGCAGAGCAATGACATTCTGCACAGTACATTCCCCTTGTTACGCTACAGCTGAAATCAAATAGTAAGTTTCAGCTAGAGGAAGCCCATTGAACCAATGGGATTTAGAGAGGAGTTGACGCATCAGATCCCCACTGTTGCTTCCTACTGAATTTTAACCAATGTCTATGTAAAGGTTTTTAGTGGGTAGACTTACATTCAATGCAGGTGACTCACAGTCTGATGCATCAAGCATCACAGTACAGTGGTGCCTCGTTTAATGAGGATAATCCATTCCATCGAAATTGCTGTAGAGCGAAATTCTCATTAAGAGAAAATAAAAAACCCATTGAAATGCATTGAAGTGACTCACAGTCTGATGCATCAAGCCTCGCTTAATGAGGATAATCCGTTCCATCGAAATTGCTGTAGAGCAAAATTCTCGTTAAGCGAAAATAAAAAACCCATTGAAATGCATTGAAAACCCGTTCAATGCATTCCAATGGGCTGGAAACTCACTGTCCAGCGAAGATCCTCCATAGGGGCGGCCATTTTCGCTGCCTGTAAAGCGAGGAATCCATCCAAAAACACAGCGGGGAGCCATTTTACACAGCGGGCGGCCATTTTGAAGCCGCCAATCAGCTGTTTTAAAATCGTCGTAATGCGAAGAATCGGTTCCCGAAGCAGGGAACCGATCGTCGCAAAGCGGATTTTGCCTATTAAAAAATCGTTTTGCAATCGCAAAAGGGATTGCAAAAAGTTCATCGTATAGCTGTTTCGTCGTTTAACGAAGCAATTGTTAAGCGATAAGTTAGTGCTCTGTACATATTCAGAAACACAGTTCTGTTAGGAGATGCTAAAGACATTTTGAATACAGTTCTCCATTGCAGTCTTGATGGTTTTTTCAAAAAAATTCAGTTGAGAATATCCATGTTCCCTTGTGATAGCCAGCCGGGACTGTGCCAATTAACCTGCCCATCTTTTGCATTCCTGGTACCATTTCCCCCCTAGAATGCATCTTTGTGCACAAGATCAGTGGCTTATAGTGCTTGACAAACTTGACTTCAACCGTTCCATATTTTAGATAATAGAAGCATGCCTCACTATCAAGATACACTGAACAATTCTGATCAATAATAATCTAACTCATAAGATTTTGGATAGTCAGATAAGTTGAGTATCTGCTGCTGGAGCCAATGGTGGGAGTTTGATTCCCAATGGGCCTCCTTGATAGCGGCTGTATTCAGTGATCCATAGGGTCACTTCCAGCTCTGCAGTTCTAAGGTATATTTTTATTAAGTACACATTTCATTGGCAGGGATGTCTTCAACAATAGTTTTCAATTCTGGAATTTGCCCAGCTGTGTCAATGAAAACGTCAGTGAGATATTTTTAATTCTTGCCATTGGCTTCTGCCAAATTAATCTGGGATCCATGCTCAGATCAACTCCTTAATGGCAGGCTGGTAGGGGAGCTGACTAAGGATGGTGGTTAGTGTATTGCCCTTGGGCTGAAGAGGCCTAGGCATACAGCCATAGAGTTAACTGGCAATTCTGGCCCAGGCAATGAAGAGGGGGGAAAAAACAGCGTCGACACTCATTGTAAAAAGCTGTCAAGGCAGCCTTAGGGACAGGCTTAAGGACTAGGGCGTGCGTCCCTTCCAGAATCCCAAAGATCAAAACGTGACTTATTCAGGAGGAATTTCCACCCACAATCGCCGCTGACCGAAGGGGAACGTCCATTGGGAAGGAGTCTCTTTTCCCATTGCTCGGTTTGGGGAACGTGAGGAGACCTCCAGGTGTTGTTGGACTCCAACTCCCATCAGCCCGAGTCAGCAAAAGCCTACCGTGAGGGATACTGGGATTTGAAGTCCACGAACACCCGGAGGTTCCCCCCCCATGCTCTGCCCCTCAAGTGACAGGGCTCCTCAACAAGTCTTCAAAGAAAACGAAGAGCTCGCAAGTAACCGTCTGAGGACTCTGTGTTCTCAAGAGAAACGTTACTTTAAAACGAATAAACCACCCACCATTGACTTCGTTGCTGGTCTGAACGCGGCCCCCACCCCCACAAACTTCCGAGCCGCCCGTTTCTTGGGCCGCCCCGCGAGCGCTCGAGACTCGGCTCCTCGACCTTCCTCCTCCTCCTCCCCCCCACCCATCGCCATCTTTGGAGGCAGGAGGCGGAGAACTCCCGCCTTCCCTCCCCTTTGGCTGGCTGGTCTCAAGGAGTGACAGCAGGCGGTCGCCCAGCCAGGAGTTGGAGTCGTTGCGTCACGTGATCTCTCCTCCTGCTCCCCCCACTTTCCCCCCTCCCTC